CAAAATTTATTAAAACTTAATGGGGAAGCAATGATAAAATTAATTGAAGAAAATAATAAAAATATTAATATAGAATTAGAATACAAACAAATAACACGTGAAACAATTACTAAAACTTATATAATAAATAACATTTGATTTAATAACTTTTTCAACTGTAAATATTTCTTTAGACCAATTTGTTTTTAATTTATTTCGATACACATCATTTATTGAAGATAATCTAACTCTATCATTTATTTCAAATTTAGGCTTAGAATTACTGATATCATAATTATAAACAGTAGAAAGTAAGTCTTTCTCGTTTTTCTTAATTACATCAGCAGGTTTCATTTTTATCGTTCTATGATATGTATTATTATATGCCTTAATAATCTTTGGTAATTCAGTAATCCATACATTGTTTAAATAAAGTACTTTCTTTAATTTATCACCCAATGTTCTGTTAAAACGTTCTATTATAGATGCCTTTTTATCGGTGCCTGTACTATACATTGTTATGTTATATTTATTTAGTAATTGTTTTAAATCTTTATTATAAAATTCCTTACCCTTATCTACATGTAATTTCTTAGGTACATTATGTTTAAATATTTGTGAAAATGCCTCAGATACTTCCAAACCACTTTTTGTTTTCAAAGCTACAGAATAAACTTTTTTAGAAAATGTATCAATAACATTGAGAATATATTTAAAACCATTATTGGCTTTATATAAGGCTTTATGGTTATCGTTAACTTTAATTTCATTATGTTTATTTCTTAAATTATAATTGGGATCACTATTTGTAGATTTCGGTCTATAAAAACAGTACAAATCAGCCTGCCAAGTTTCATTTATACCTCTTTGTATAAAATGTCTTGTTTCAAAATGTTTTCTAGCCGGTTTAAATAATTCATAAGCTTCTATAAGTTCTGGTGGTTTTGATATATTATTCTTATTTGTATTACATATTTTACATACTGATAACCTCCTATATTTATTATTTTTTTTAATAAATTCAGGAATACCTATACTTCTAGTTTGAGATTTACAATTTTTGCAATAGTCCATTTATTTAAGATATATATATTTTATATATTTTCTCTAATTGTATTATTGGTAAGATCATAAAAAAATTCTGTACCAGATACTAAGCAAATATAACAATTGGTATTAGCAGACACATTTTCATCGAAATCTGCATGTAAGATAATTCTTGATTTAGATCCAGAAATCTGTGATGGTTGCCTAGTTATATCAATTACAAAAAATGGTCTGATATTTTTAAATTCCTCTGGAGTAATATACATTAAAGATAAATCTCTATGTGCTCTATTATAAACATTCTTATAATTCATTAACATACGATAAGCTCTATTAAATTTTCCTTTTTTAAAATCTAAGTCTAATAATCGTTCTGGATACTTCATACCATCAACATCCAACCAAATATTTTTCAAATTATAATTACTAAACTCTATTGGGTCTCTCAATTGATTAAGTAATCTATCTGTTTGAAAAGCTACGATAACAAATAAAGGATTATGGATATTTGTATATATATTTGTTATATCTTTGTGTAGTGTTTTACTAGTAGTAATAATAATTTCTTCAATACACTGCCATGATTTGAATCTAAATGTATATTCATTTCTCTTGGACAATGAAACTAAATCATTTATCAATTTAAATTTATACGCATCTTTATAAGTTCACAATTGGTATGCTAATAAGTAATTCTTCAATAACAACTTTTCCAGCTTCAGGTAATACCCCTTTATCATCCTTATCTCTAAATAAAGCATCATCGTCAGTACGTCTTACAAAAATTATTTCAAAACCTCCTCTATATACTGGGTATTCTATATCTTTAAAAAACCCTAAACACAAATTAGACAAGTTACCAATAGCACTAAAATTACCACCACCACTAAATTTTGATTGAAATCCACTATTAATTGTTGGCCCACTAAGATCTGCAGAATAACTATTTGTACCTTTAATCAAACTAGCTCTACCAACATTATCAATTTTATCTAATTCTCTTTTATGTTTTTTAACACAAATTGAGTCAAACAAAAATCCAGGAAAATTGTCAACTAATATTACATTAGAACCTTTAGGATAGCTAGTACCATCAGCCTGCAAAACTTTACCAGAAATTTCAAATGTTGCTTTTTTAACATTTAAAAAACTATCTTCTTCTTGTATTTTAAAAGTAGTAGTTTTATTAGGTTCATTAAGATTTTTGTTTGTCATAGGTTCAAATATAATATCCTGTTCACGGATAATAGCATGGTCATATTGTGCAAATATATTTTCCATTTATAAGGAAAAAATTTAATAAAGTTTTATAATTTAAAATTCTTAGTAAAATCTAAACATAAATGTCCGCATATAGGTGGATCAGTATAAGTTTGTAGTTGATCAGTGGTGTAATATAAATCATCTTTTCCTAAATAATTTACAACTTCTTCAGGCGGAGGGGAATCTCCAAAAGAGTCAAAATATACTTTTTTATTATCATTTTTTAACCAGGCCACCCAATGTGAACCAGGTTGATTAGAATTATTTAAATTTAATATTCCACATTCATTTTTCCAAGGTTTTGTTGATAACTCATCTTTCATAAAACAACCTCTACAATTCTTAATATTTTTTCCTGCTTTAATAATATCAAAATTAGTTAATGGTTTTATTTCTTTTTTTGTTCTTTATTTTGTTTTTTTTAAGACTTGAACTAATCTGTAAAGTCATAATATTTCTAACATTTTCTTCCATCATCCTATCATGTCTTTCTGTCTCATCTCGTTTTAATTTCTTATCTTTTGCATCAATAACAGTATTTGCAATAGCACTAGCGCCTCCGGCCAATGCACTAAGGGCACCTATACCTGCTATAATAAGAGGTAAAAAACCACCTACTTTATCTTTATCTCCAAATTGAGATTTTGTAATTTTTAATCTCACCCCTTTTTTATCTTTCTTAGCTTTAGATAACTTATTATTTTGTCTATCAGTAAAATTAAATTTGTTTTTTCCATTACCAATCTGTGTATGCTTTAATTGAATAACTAAATCAATTTTGTTTTTATAAGCTTTTACAAGCTTTTTTATTTGAAAATCACTCAAATCCAAATTCATTTAATATAAATAAAAAGTTATTAAATCAAATTAAACTCATACCAAAATACCTTTTTGCTTTCATTGCATTTGTGGTGATATAAGCAGCTGCTTTTTCACCTATAGATGCATCTGGGGCTAAAAGCCTACCCCATGCTTTATCTTCCAAAATTTTATCTCCAATATGTCTTGTTTTAATATCTTTATGTTTTTTATAAAAATAATCATGTTCCATTGCTGCCATATCTAGTTTATTTACTGGCTTCTTATTTTTTTCTAATTCAGTAAAAGGTCCAAGATAATTATAACCAGGCCAATGTATTTCAGGCATAAATTCACTGTTTAAAAGATTATTCATAAGACCTGATTCTTCTACAAATTTTTCAGGCAAACTTGTTACATAAGATATTAAATACTCAATTCCTTGTGGAGTACTAGCTAATCTTTCCAACTCAGAACTAAAAAAATGTACAATACCAATCTTTTCATTATGAAAATTATTATTTCCTGCTTTTTCTTCACTAGCAATAAAATATAATCTCTTTAATAATTCACTTAAATTATGTATTTATTTATAGGTACTCAATAGGATTTTCTGTGTATTTTTTTAAACCTTCTCCTTCTTTTTCTTCTTCCTGTGAAGCAGTCTCTATCTGATCTTTTTCAGCTTCCTTGGGCGGTATATAAGGTTTTATATCATTCCACCAAATATCAGCAATCATTTTATTATATTTTTCCCCTTTATTTGATTTAACACTTATTGATTTACTATTATTACCTTGAAATAATGAAACCGTACTAATTAATATTTCTTTATAATTATTAAAATCTTCTTGTTCATACCATATTGGTGGAACAATTAAATTATGAGTTAATAATCTAAATAATCCTTCTGTTCCTTTATATATTTTTCCATTTATAATTAAATTATCGTCTTTAAAAGTGATTACTTCTTTTCCAATCATATAATTATTAGTTTCAGCGTTATGATATATACCATAAGAACTATCTTTAATGCGAGGTAAATACTTGCTTGTTAGTGACCTAAAACATTATTTAAATAGACGTTCTGCGTTGACGTTATATATTTACGTTCTGCGTTGTCGTTATACGTTGACATTATGCGTTGACGTTTGCGTTAATGATTAAGTCTAAATTCATATCTTTTTAAATCTATTATAAATGTGTATACCTGTTAAATCAATTGAAATAAACCCAAACTTATTTTTCCAGCAAGTTGAACATAAAGATTTAAATTTATCAAAAACTATATCATTACTCAAAAAATCTTTCCATATTCTCCCAATATAAAAATCTGACTGCTTAAATATAATTAAAAAATTACAATTTGTTCTGATTGCTTTTAAATCTAATAAACTATAATTCTGACTTATATAAAATATAAATACATGAAATATTTTTAGATCTTGATCTTACAAAATATTCTTTTATTCTATCTTGTTTATCTAAAATATAATCATCAAAAACGACTAAGCTATCTGGTTTACAGTCATCAACAGATATTATCTCTTCATTGGTTATATATACCTCTACATTATTCAAATTTGCAAATACTTCTTTTATACTTTCATAAATTGGTTGCTCTATATTTTTTGTAAAAATATAAAGATTTTCATAAGGAATCCAATACTTAATAATAATATTACATAATAAGTTAGTTTTCCCTGATCCAGATGACCCTATAATTAAACATCTCATAGGTATTGGAAGTATTGATTTTGATATATTATTATCTAAATGAAACAATGTAATTTCATATTTTTTATCCATTTAATATAGAAAATTAATATAAGCTTAAAAATTAAAATTCCTATTAAATTTTTCTCTTATTAAATATTATTTATATATATATATATATATATATAAATATAAAAATGTCTGATTCAGTAGACTTAAAAGTGCGATTAAATAAATATGGATACAAGTATAAATTTATTAAATTATCAGAACTGGTAGCTGACAAAAGATATGAAGTTACTGCTTTTGAACTTGTTATTATTAATGGGTGGGATACAGTATCTGTTGTATTTGATAATAAATATAAGCTCATTTTACCAGATAGATTTTTTAAAACTATTTCTGAAAATATATATGAAATGAATGATAAAGAGTGGTCTACACTTTACCTTTATTACAGGTATAAAAAAATACTTGATAATGGAGATTCATACCATCGTATAGAGTTTGAAGGTAATTCTTTTGACACTACTGTAATTAAAGTATTAAAGAAATTAAATGAAGAAGATTACAAATATACAAAATTATCTGATTTAAATATCAATGAACTTTATAAAATAACAACAATTAGAAAAGTAGATACAAAATATGGTGAAAGAGTTTCTGTTGTATTAAACAATAAGGATATGCTATTATTACCCCAAAGGTTTGTTAATATTATTTCTGAGTTAGATATAGACAGATATGAGGGCGAAATGTATATGAAATATAAGGGTAAAAAAAACTCTTGATAATAGGAAAACAATCCATTTGATAGAATTTGAATAACCTAACATTATTTTTTGTTATTAAATGAAATTAATCAAAATCATAAATGGTTCTATACATTTAGAACATTATATACATAATGAAAACAAAAGTATGTCTATTGGGTTATATGCTTTGTCTTTTACCAAGCCTGGGGATTTAATCAAAATAGAAAACGACTGTCAAATAACAATTAACACTAACGTAATTGACATCAAAAGTGGTATTTATACTATTGAAAAACTAAATAAATTAATAAATCCATTAATTATCTCTTTTGTTGATAAAAAAATTAAAATAGAATCTCCATTTTACTATAGTTTGGATGAAAAATTAAAAAAATATTTAGGTTTTAATGGTATTATATATTTTTCAACGGCAAGTGACAAAAAAATGTACTATCCCACTAGTGATGAATATTACATAAATATTGAACAGGAATGTGAGTTTAAAGTAGAAAAAGATTCACATAAAATACCTATTGGAGTATATTCTATTAATGAAATTCAAAATTTATTAAATCCAGACAAGAACGTTGTTAATACTAAAATTACAGTGGTTAATAGATATTTAGTGATTTCAACTAACTATGAGTATGTTTTTGACTCTTATTTAACTAACTATTTAGGAATTCCATTGTTTAATTCTTCGTCAAGTTATAAAACTGAACAATCATTTGAACGAACTGTAAATGGTACACTAATGCCAAATTTTACACTCAAGGTTTCCTAAAAGAAATAAATGGTGTTATCGAAACAGAAAATAGCAAAACTATAATAGGAAAGAAAAATTATACTATTGATCAATTAAATAAAATACTACCATCAAATATAAAAATACAACAAACAGATAAACAAATTACAATAATATCTAGTATTTATTATTTATTGGATGAAAATTTAACATCAAGCCTAGGATTAGGTAAAAAATATATCTATAAACATATTGGTTTAGATGTTATATTCAGTAATTATTTTGAAAATAAGTTTATCGAAGTACATTGTAATATAAGTGAAAATTCAATTTCTAACCATAAAACTGAGAAATATTTTCATATAGACGATGATATTTTATGTGTTGTTAAATGTGATAAGGGTGGCCAATATATAGCTAATGACATTAAATATATTCCTCTAAATGTAATAGATTTTAAACATATTAAATTATTTATCACCGATCAAGATGGTATTAAAATAATATGTAATGACTTTGTTGCATATTTAATTCTAAAAACATAGATCTAGATAGTTCTATAACGCAATGTTTTAGCAATGAATATGCAATGAATACGCAATGAATATGTTTTTTTAAATGTATTCGAACTTTGAATAGGTGCGTATTCGGAATACTAGTTATTCGAACTCAGAATAAATTATAAAAGTATTATTTACATGACTGCCCTTCACCATAAAAATGGCAACTATAACTATATAGGTAAATTATAAATAACACCTACATTAATATATTATATAATTATGTTGGACATCAGAGGAATATCATATTTCTGAAATATTTATTATAAAAATTGTATGAATATCGATTAATTTCGACTATTATTATTTTGATTATTCACAACTTATTTATAATATTGTCGTTCGTCATCTTTACATACACATTCTAATATAATACCTATAAAGGAATTATAAAGCTATGTCATCTATTGATCGCAAAATATAAATTTGCTCAGAAAAAGTTTCTAATGAATTATCAAATAATAAGTGTAGGGTAGATCTAATTTCAAAAATGTACAAAAAAAAAAGTGGGCAAGCAGGTAACCACTCTGCTGATGTACAGTCGGCGTACCTCGTCATTGAGTATTGTTAATACTTAATACTGTAATGGATGTTTAACAATTTGATCGCAATGATAAACAACTACCTACATATATACGTACCATTGTCGCCGAAGTCCTAAAAATTTAGTCGGGCAAAAAATATTTGAAACGGCCCCAATATTTAAATATTAGCCCCAATGGCGTACCTACATGAAAGGGTGGAGGACCGATTAGGTATTAGATTTTACCTAAAAATGTTCAGTTGTAAAAGAAAATTTAAATCACACTTTTTTGTAATCCCTACCAACTAAGACGGATTGGAGACGATTTTGTTTGTTTCTGAAATCGGCCCCATGCTAAATTTTCAAAATATGTCGGGCCAAGCCACTGAATTATTACCTACCTACGAAAAACCAATTTTGGGCGGAAAATAGATATGGTTTTTCAGCCTACGATGAGTATCTATACCTATTACTATATATAGGTATATTTTATGATTTAGGTAACGAAAATAAATACAACTGCAAACTGCAATAGTTCATAAAGTGTAATACTAAGTAAAAAGCTTCAATAAAAGACAAATTAATAAAAAATAACCTAATGAAAAACCAAATAAATGAAACGATGCCAAAAACCGGACGCGCTTTACTTATGCTTAGGCCAGTGGCGTATCTAGGAATTTGTCATGGGGAGGGTCCAGATAATTTTCAGAACACAGAGCCACGGGGGACGAAGCCCCCCACACCACCCATTTACTCTTTATTAAATAAAATATACCATATTTATATGACGATATAAAATTGTAGAGTTTTTAATTATTAAATAATAATATGTACAAAACAAATTTAAAAAAAAGCGGGTAAGTGGATGTCACTCTGCTGCTGTACAGTAGGTTACAAGTGGGTCAATGTATAATGGATTGTATTAAACTTGAACTCAATGATATAATATCATTATATCATTGTATAAGAAAAACGATTCTGAGCGAAGACGGTTTGTCAGTCTGGATATTTTATATTGTTATTATTTATTATAGCCTGTAAGTTGAATTAATAATGAAATAATTTTATTTTTTATTTTTTTCTATGGTGATAGACAAAGTGTAAGAAATTAAAATCCCATTTTTAGCGGTTTTTCGTAATTTTTTGGTGGTTTTTACAGTGGCATTAAATAACTATTGAGAAAATCGAAAAATGACCTCTCTAAAGTACTATCTTGATCCAATTTTCTAAAAGATAAGTTACTATATGTCTATACATGTTGAAATCGAAGCACTCCTTCTGGAAGAAATTTTGTATACAGGAAAAGAAATAAACACCATTGTAGAACCAATAGATCCCTCAGAATCGAATATATAGAACAAATATTTTATTATGTGACATGTGCTCACGGTTAAACAGTTACCACAAATAGGAAAACAGGCTTTCATTGTACCCTTAGATCATTATACTATGGATGTATGTATAGTGTATTATACCAGTACAAAAAACTGCCAATATCAACGACGAGTCAACAAATTATTTATTCGATATGCGCATGCACAACGCAACTTCTTGCACGTTTATCCACCGATAATTAATTATCAAATCAGCCTATTATGTTTAAATATAATATTATATTGAAATATAGTAGGTATAATGTCTACTATAATAATATAATTAACCACAAACTATGATTTAGAATAATTCAGTGATGCTAAGTTATGGATAATTATGCCTAAAGTTGCATCGCCTATGTGCATATCGATCACCTTATTCGGAGACTCGTTGCTAATATCGGCAACAAAATAATACGCTGTGGCTCCATCCATAGCATATGAACTAAGATTTTACCGAACCTTAATGATTTTTTCGGAACACAGCTGGCTGCAGTTTGCTGTTTGGTTTTGGTTTTACTCATTAACATAATTATTATCATGATGTATTACGATGGCACATCACATATGGCAAATGGCAATAAATAAACACATTTTAGTTAATCAATTCATTTTTTTTTCTATAGTTAATCTTTTAAAAATATATTTTTCAGTTTTCTTGAAAAAATAATTCTTACAAATCTAAAATGCCTTTTTGATAATATTTTTCAAATTAATTCACAAATTACCAAGGGGGGCATTGCCCCCGTTAAATTTTTTGATGGGTGGCAGTGTCCCCCTCCTCCCCAGTTTACGCCTATGCTTTACGTAAATGTTTTGCAGAAAGTTGATTATTTTAACAACATAAAGGAACCCTTGAATTGTGTGCTTTATTACAAATTTGTTGTTACAGGTTTGACTTTCTTAACACGATGGCCGACATTACAGAACCGGTCAATGATGTGGATGTTTTTGATTCATTATTGGACAAACCTGCTAGTACTAGTTCTAAGCAAATTAAGAATTACAAGGTTGGTGATATTGTTTGGGCTAAAATTGGGAAGTATCCATATTGGCCAAGCATTGTCTGTGTTGACCCAACATTGAATATTCATTATAGTAAGCTATTTATAATAATATACTTTCTCAAATTTCATGATTTAACTACTAATGTAACTTTTAATTAACTAAGTTATATAGAATATTATATTGTTAAAAACATAGCATAATATTATAATAACTAACATAACACATAAGGCATATCATTTTTTAAATTAATAAACTTCAAAATGTTCTATACTCTATTCAAAATAAGACCGTGACCAGGCGGTGACCAGTTTTTGTCCAGCGGCAGGTCAGACATATGGTGAAACACCGTCCCCACCACGGCGGTGCGTCGGGCTCTGCCACGAAACAAAGCCACGCCCATGCGCACAACTCGGCCGCCCGGTTACGGTCTTATTTTGAATAGAGTATAGTCATTTGTAAATTAAGCACTATTGTGACTAAATATTACATTATTATTTTTGCTGACCTTTATTAGCTTAGTTTGTTATGTTAGTTACATTTTTTTATGTAAGTTTTTATTATGTATTATATTTTTTCAGAAGAAAAAAAGCGATTATTGATACATGTCCGCTTTTGTAATGATAAAGGTAAAAGAAGTTGGGCCAAAACTACTGAAAATTACAATGGAAAATGTGAATTACTTTTAAAGTATCCTAATACTTTAGTAAGTATAAATTAATATAATATAATTATATATAAGTTGTAAAAGATTATTTTTAATTTTTTGTATTTGTTAATTATTAATATTTGCAGACTTACTTCAAGAATAGTAAAAAGCTTATTGATACGTGGGAATTGGCAGTTGAAGAAGCTGATAATTTGATGAAAATTGATAGGTATATTTTGAATACAGTTGTTTATAATACCAAAAATATTTTTATTAATTATACAATATGTATTTTATATTTCAGAGAATCGAGATTGGTAGAATTTTTCAAATCTTTTTGTAATTCAGATTCTGTAACTCCATCTGTTTTAAAAAAATCATCTGAATGCACTGTTGCTGTAAGTTAAAATATTATTTGTTATTGATCAAGCTGTTAATTGATTGAATATTAAATATTAAATTTATATTATTCTAAGGCGTTAAAAGTACGTAATTATTCAAGAAAAAGATCTCTAGCAGTTTCTGAACAAGATAATGATTCCAAAATAATGAAGACTGAAAACATAGATATGAATCGTACATCATCAGGATCAATAGACATAGGTTTAAAAGTAAAACAGGAAACTATGAAAAAAAAAAGATCAACAAAAACGTGTCCACCAAAAAGTTCAGTTGCCAATAAATATGACTTATCTTCTTCAATAATGAATTCTCCAGAAAATAATGATAGTAATAGTGTATCTGATAATCAAGATAAATACCCAGTTACAACCGCAACATCTTCTACTCGTTCGGTACCTCATCATAGGAAACTTGAAACAAGGTAAAAAAAAAATTTAATTCAAGTAATTTAAATTATTTAATTAATATACAGGTTGATTTTTTAAGCTCTCGCTATATTTATTCTTAAATTATACACATATTCAAATTCTAATTTTGTTTTAAATTACACATAAAGAACATATTTTAAATAATTTAAAGTAAAAGTGTGGGAGGAGGGTTCTAATTTGAGAAATAGATGTTTGTTCGTAACAGAATACGCCTTAAGTAGTACAAAAAATATCAGGAATTTGAAAATATGGTCATTAGGTATACTTAAAAATTCTGAAAATCTGAGAATTGAAATAATGTAGTATTAAGGGAAATAATAGGGATTAGCATGTTTAAAAAATCATCCTCTATAATATATTATACTTGTAGGATAGATTTTATATTTACCTTTTTAGTTGACTTGATTTATATATTATATATATATTTAGTATGTAAATATTATGATAAGGAAGAGATGTCAATCATGGGCGTCTGTTAGGGAGGAAGGGTTGGCATGTCCCTACTGTTATTTTAGTTCATATTAATTGTTTTATTTCTTGTAAAAACAAAAAAATAGTTTGTGTGTATGTGGATTGTGAGGCTAGGATTTGTCATTTAAAACCATGGTGGTCACTCGTCAGAGAGCTAGTGACGCCGGACGATGCTTGACCTCAACGCACTTAAGTAGCCCAACCACCACTTTGCCAGGCCCCACTTTTTTAATAAGATGTTTTCTGTTATTGGAATGTTAAATGAATACATTTTTTCTACTAGAGATAAAAAATGAATTGATCTTATTTTTTTAATATTATAAATTCTAGCATATTAGAAGGAAAATATGATCAAGATAATATTATTTTTCCAAGTTCTTGTCGTTCAAAAAAAAAAATAAATACATTTCACATAGAGTAAATTTAAATATATTTAATTATCAGTGTATTTGTTTATTATAAAGGTATATTAGTATGTTTTTAAATATTATTTTATATATTTTATAGTTGTAGTTCCAACTCAAATAAAGAAATCAATTTAATTAACGGTGATCATACTATACGTTTACAAAGGTATAATTTTAGTGATATAAATTAAAGAGAGTTATGTTTAGAGTTATTTTTTGAAAACAAGTTGAATTGAGCATACTTTTTTTAGTCTATTTCAAAAGTTAAGTACTTGAAATGGTACAAGTATTGTATTATTGACAATTCTTGAGTGTTCTAAATTAGTACTGAAAGTTACTCGTGTATATGAAGGTATTGCTCGCTTACCTATACACAACATAAAAATATTGTGGTTGTATAATATTTGAAGTTTTTACATTTATTTTTTCCAAAAAAATAGTCATGTTAATGAGTATAAAATAAATTCAATTAAGTTCATTTTCTTGACTAGATCATTTTTTTTTTAGTCAAGTAGGTACTCAAGCAACTAAAATTAAATATTTATATGTATTCTAGTTCATCCAATTCTAAGAAAACAGTTACTAGAAAACAACTTATTGAAAAAGAAAACTCTATTGGAAGGTAACATTTTAAACTGAAAGTTATTATTTCTAAAAGATATACTTAATAGTTAACTAAATCAGTTATCACTACGAGGCGTATCGAAGTGTTTTTACTGTAAAGCTGTTTTGACCAAATAATATCTGTTTTCATTTTTGGTCCTAAATATATTGCCATTTATATTAAATACACATGAGCAGGTCCCTTAAAAAATAACCAAAAAATTAAATAAAAGTCAATATAGAACAATATATATAAGTATTATCAGTAATTACCCGTTAAAGAACTACAAATTCCAACATTTATTGATATTTTCTATTTTATTTTGTTGTTTATCATCATTATGATCAGTTTTTAAAATATTTAAAACATAATTAAATTCGTTTTTTTGTTTAACAACTGGTCGTACTGCTAATTAAAATATATTTGTAGATTTTATATTACGCGAAATTTATCGAATTAAAGCCATTATAATATACCTAAAAAAAAACTGCATACCTAAATGTAATTGAATAAAATATTGCTTATAAATAACACTTTCAAACTTCAAGTGCTCACTTGAATAGATTTATCATCGTATTATTTGTAACATTGTTAATTTCCATTACCACGTATTTACGGGTTAATAACAGTCGTAATTTCAAATCTGGTCATTAAATACTATCTTATTATTTTATCCAACGTGGATTAAATACTTCAATTTTATTTTATTTAATTTTAAAATTGAACTACCTATATGTTATGAGTTATGACGATTATTATAAAATATCATAGTTTTTATGAAAAAAATCATATTTTGTCCACTTAAATTATTATTTGATTGGTATAGTTTGCTATACGTTTTACATATTTATACGCCTTCGGTATTATAGAAAACGTTTTTGGTATAATCTTAATTTGAGTATTTTCAAATTAAAAATATCGACTTTTGGCCTACTATTTTCATTTTTAAACCACTGTGCGCCGGGTGCATATAAGTGCTCTTTATAATTTTTTTTTAACTTCAAGACCCACCCAAGGTTAGGTTAGGTTAGGTTTTTGTGATTTTTGACAAATGTTGTCAAAATTATAACTTCAGACCCTCATAACGTTTTTTGTTAATTTATGCTCATGTGTTTTTGTTACATTTCATTAACAATAACCTCGACAATAGTTTATGAGGAACCTTGTACCTACCAAAGTTTCAATTATTTTGACTGATCGAACAATTTTATATCGACAATGATCGAGACAATAATCTAAAAATCAAAATTGTTTTTTGCCTATAAATGGCTCAAAATGTGTTAAAATATTTTAAAAATTTAATGGTGCATAGAAAATGGTTAAGTATATAAACTTCTGATGAAAATTAAAAGTATCCATGGTTATCAGGTTTTTAGTTAAATCAATAAACTGGTTAGGATGCGTAAAATCCGGTAAAATTCCAATTTTTCTATAATTTTTTTTTGTTTTTAACGGCCCTATTGAAATCTACCGTACATTTTAGATTCTGAGCGGAGCGAGGAAGCAGCTAGTGGTTTTACAATGGTGTTTATTTTTTATATCCTGTATAAAAAATTTCTACCAGAAGAGGAGTGCTTCGATTTCAACATATAGTACCTCATCTTTTAGCAAATTGTATCAAGATGGTACTTTAAAGAGGTCATTTTTGGATTTTCTCAAAAGTTATTTAATGCCACTGGAAAAAATACTGAAAAATTACGAAAAACCGCTTAAAATGGGACTTTAATTTCTAACAATTTGTTTATTACCGTAGCAATGAATAAAAAATTATAAAATTATAATATTGCCTATTTCAACTTAAAGAGTATAATAAATAATAAAAATTTAAAAAATCCTCACTGATAAACCGTCTCCGCTCAGAATCGTTTTCTTATACAATGATATTATATCATTGAATTCATGTTTATACAATCCATTATACATTTACCCACTTGTAATCTACTGTACAGCAGAGCAACATCCACTTACCCGTATTTATTTTCCACATATTCCCGTCAGAATTAATGCTGACGTGGAAAACCAAAGCACCATTATTTATTTTTACTTGAAAACATTTTTACAGGCAGGAAAAAAAATACATATTATTATAAAATATTACATTCATTGCTCAACTATCAGAATAGAAAACTAGAAAGGCGCTCTGCTGTTTAAATGTGTGAAAAGTAAAAATCTACTTAATAGCAAAAAGTTTCAAGTTCTTAGAAAAAAATATTTTTTTAATAGCTAAAAAAAATAACTTAAGTCCTTATTTTTGCTACAATATCATAAACATTTTATGTCGAAAAAAAATTGAGCATATTACCTAAGTATTTTTGATATATTTAAATCATTGTATTTCTGATCTTGTATTAAAATTGTAATTTGTATCAACATGTATAGAAGAAAGTTCCAAAATTTTAAACACTTGTGTGTTATGCATATTTTTAAATTATAGTCTTAATATTTTTAAAATGTCATAGCAAATTATAATTTAAATTAAACTTGGTAAAAGATTTAGGTATAGCTTATGAGTTATGACTTATGCCTTATGTAAATATTTGTTTATATTATTTTTACTAATATTATTCATTAGGTATTATTCATCGGATTTGTATGTACAAAAAGTCCTTAAAATATGCACTTAAAATTGAATCGAAAATATTTTATCTAAAATTATGTAAAAAAGTTCATATTTTATTAAGTATTAATTAATTAAGTAATAAAAAAGGTATAAAAAAAGTATATTTTTGTCATCTTCAGGTAAGTTCTTCGCCATTTAACATTCTTTATCTTCAATCTATAAAATATTAGCCCTGATCGGTTTCCGTCGAACACTTGAACTCTATTATATGAACAACGAATTTATCTATATTAATATCATAATAAATAATAATATATAAGTATGTCGCATATGAGTATATCATATTTTTTTAGGCAATAAAGACTGGTCGTAATAATATTATCGATATTTTATGGCTGTGAACTTGAAAATACGATGTTTTATATATGCCCTACCTATAAATAATGATGTGCACTATTATAAAGCTACACATATGTATTTAATAGGTAAAAACGTTGAAATATGAAAAATATGCAAAATACAATTTGTGTTATTTTAATAAGAATGATTTAAATCGGTGACAATTCTCATCACATTTAAAAAAGCTTATTCCAATACGTATATACGTATATACTTTGCATAAAAATCCGGTCCCTGTGCATTATTTAGTATTTACTAGACGTGCTGATATTAGGTATATTATTATTTATTATTCTTATGTATATTATCGTGACTGGTAAAAGAGGAGACGTCTTCGCCACTTAATACTTATAATATGTCCTTGTTATTTGCATTAAATTCAGCAATAAATTAGTGTATGTGCTTTGTCATCCGTCCCTATAACTCAGAGTGTAATTGATGTGGTCATAAACTGGCAATATCCTATAATTATTAACCCTGGTACAGTACATTATTATAATTTATAGTGTTGATTTCGGTGGTGTGGTCATTGAGACCTACCACTATAACCGTAGGAGCCTCTTGATTAAACAGTATAATAATATGTACAGTATACATTTTAAATTTTAAGAAGTATAAACTTATAAATTAATATAATAAATTAATAAATCACGTAAACTTTGTGAATTTTTTTAAATTTAGAATAAAATAAAATCAAAACGAATTCCTTTTTTGTTGTTAAAAATGTACTTAGTTATATTAATAAAGATTGACTTGGTAATTATTATATCAAATATTATTAAATCTCATCAACTTGGTGAATATACCTGATAATTGATAAACACAGAATAAACTAAAACTGTTAAATAAGTAATATTGTTGATAGTTATTATTTTTGTAAATTACACAATTATAACGCCTGTAGTCCGGTCAAAATAGACGTTTAACTTCGGAATAATTCGCATAGAGCTGAAAATTGGTACACACCTTAAGTACCTCATCCTAAATAAAATCTCAAAAGTCCCCATCGATCCTATTGCTGTTAATTTTTTTTATTCAAGGTCAAAGGTCACAAAAATTCGTTTTTTTCATTTATCTCTTAACATTTAAGTGTTTTCGTAAAAATAGCTGGGATTTTATCGCCCTAAAAAATACCCTAAACATTTTGAATAATGCACTAAAAAAATTCACTATTTTTTTTTGTTTTTAATAATTTCGTTACAATTTCTGATATACATTTTTGTTACCTAAATAATAATATAAGTCTTAAACTTTAAAGGATAGTAAAAAAGTTGTAGATAACTTTTGATCAAATATTTATTTACCTGTACCCACTTAATTATTTTATGTTCAATTTATACAAAAACCATGTAAAAGCATGTAAAAATTTTAAAATTAAATTTCAAATTCAAAATGTTTTAAAATGCCTTAAAAATCCTAAAATGCTCTAAAAATAAAAAGTAACCTTATAATTTAAAATTGTTATGAATTATTATTAATTTTTACTAATTTAATAGGAACTCTTGAATATTGACTAACAATGCTGTCAGTGTATCGGGACATAATATTTTATCCCGAATACATGTCTACTAGACATTTCAGCAAAAAAAAGAAAAACGCATACTTATCAATCGCACTTAATATTATTATGTTTCAAACATTTAATTTAATTTCATTGTTTATGAATCCAGCACTGTTCAAAATGTTTATTACTTTCTCTCTTAAATTAATAGCATCTTCAAGCTTATTGGTGCCAGTTAAGGTCGTCCATATAAAAATCTGACTTAATCGCTTGAGCAGCAAACTGAGCCTTTTTTTCATATTCGTGTGCTAATTTTTCGAGACAGGTGGTAGTTAAATACGACGCGGGTGTTGTTCCATACGTTATCGTGTTTAAACAGTACTCTTTTAATTTATCGCTGGGTTGTGATCGCCATAATGACTACGCGTTTGTAATGACCTATTTTCTTCGCTTATTAATATCTGACGATACATTTTTTCAATGTCCGCCGACATAGCGCATTTGTGTGTCCTAAATCTTGATATTATGCAGACAAGTTCATCTCGAATGATTGGGCCTTTTA